GTGTGTGTGTCTGCGTGTGTGTCTGCGTGTGTGCGTACGTGTGCGTGTGTCCGTGTGTGTCTGCGTGTGTCTGCGTGTGTGCCTTTGTGTGTGTCTGGGAATCACATGGAGCGCCTGGCAGGGTTTGCCTTAAACGACTCTTGAGGCTTTGTTGAACCTCTTCACAGTTCTTGGCAAGTATTTTCATTGTTTTGTGTTTCGGTTCTGTTCGTTGCCAAATACGACCAAGTTAGTTGCAAGCATTTGTCAAAATATGGAAAGCCACCTAAAGGTTGGGCTTCCCTTTCGTTTTCCAATACACCCAGAAGACTTCACGTTTGGCAAGTCAGGTTGTGTTTATGTGTACTTGGGGGCTGCAGAAAGTCAGTTTTGTTGCGAGCCCATACAAAGGATTTGTGATTTCCACCTAGGGCTGTTTTTTTTAGTAGGGCTGTGTGGGTTGGTTCGTTGGTTCGTTGGTTGGTTGGTTGGTCGGTCGGTTGGTTGGTTGGTTGGTCGGTCGGTCGGTTGGTTGGTTGGTTGGTTCGTTGCTCGCTTGCTTGCTTGCTTGCTTCGTTGTTTTTTCGAGCCTCCGGGCCCCATGTTCTCGAAGCGCGAAGGACCTCAGGAGGAGGACGGTGAAGACGAGGAGCTGGATGAAAACGCGGAGCTTGGCGCGGACCGGAGTTCGTGAGTTTGGGTGTTCGTTGGCTTGCTGGAAACCGCATGTTCGTGGGTTTGCTCACTTCCGGTTCTCCTTTTGCTTTCCCTTTTGAAGCCAAAAAAGGAGAACCGAGCCGAGCCCTGGACTTTAGGCACTTGCGAATATGTTTAGTGCTAAACAAGGAACGATCGAGCAGCGTCCGCCGCACCTTTTGGTTGCTTCGGTTGCAAGAGAAGCCACACGGAATGGGAGGTGGGTGGGCGGGTGGGGGTGGGTGGGGATGGGGGTGGGTTCCCCTATGTTGCTCACTTCCCAAGTTCCGTTTCGGACTTTCCCCAAAACCAGATACGTTTGTCATCAATCTGCCGTTGGGGGGAGATGTTGTTCTCATGGCTCGCAGTTGCAATTCTTAGCTTTCACTCTCTGGCTGGATTGGAAGATAATTGCAGCATGCGAAGTGGAGGAGTGGACTTGCCATTTGCATCCGTGAATCAACCCGCTGGCCGCGGCTTCTTTCCAGCAGTTTGAAACCGGAGCTGGTCATTCCAACAAGATCCTGCTCGCGTGCTTGCATAGGCGCGCTAGAAACTAGGCCCGCGTAGGCATCCTTCCACGTGTTTGCGCACACGCGGAGGCATCTGTGTAGGGGGCAAGCTTCCAGATCTTCCAGAGTGCTTTTAAATTGATCCCAAAAGAAGCTCTGCCAGTTGGTCATGCAATAGCGGTGAATTGCGAGAGGGAGTGGTGCAAAAGAACCTTGACAGGCATGTGTGCAGCGCAGGGCAGGTGCTTTTGAGAGGGAGTGCTCATCATTCAGCAGTGTGTGTGTGTGTGCCTGTCTTGATTCAACGTGGATTCGTGAGGTCAAGAAAAAGCTTTGATTACCATCTATGTAGACCAGACGTCAACAGGTGAAGCTTGCTCGCTGCAGGACGAGATTTCTGAGATGGACATCCCCATTGCAGGATCCAACACGTCGCTTGTCCAGATTATCAATCAATCTTCCCCCTATGAAGTGCTTTGCAGTTTCTCCCCCTTTTGTTCTTTTGGTGTCCCTGGGCTTGGGTACCAGGTCTCGACGGGGCAAACACGTGGTGTCTTGTGTTTTTGCTTGAGGGAACTGGTTTGGCGGATGTCTTGAGTCCTGGCATGAGAGGAAACCAAAAAGTTCCGGAGAGTCCATTTGGAGACACCCACATTGTGCTCGAAGGTGTTGGACAAAGTTTTTTGCTTGGATTTTTCCTTATTTTACTTTACCCCGAATTGGTGGTGTGGTTTGGTGGTTTGGACAAGGTGGGGTTCAAATCCCACTCAAACCACCAAGACGGAAGCTGACTGACTTGTCTCGCAGGTGGCCCCACTGCCCTTCCCGAAACGTGGCGCACTCAGTGTTGTTTGATGGCGTTTGTAAGGAACTGCCTGATGGATGTCGAGCCACATTTGTGGTTTGTGCATTGGCAGCCGATGAGCCGATGAGTCTTTGGTTTTTTTCTGCGACAGGCCCACAGATGTGGTGACAAGCGACTTTGATGCATTGGTCTTGCTGGACTTTGGAGGATGCAACCAGAGTTGTCCCAAGAATTTGCCACTGTCAAAGGCGTCAAAAGTAGTTGGAACCCGACAAAGGGTTGGTTTCAGCTGTTGACACACACACATATAATATATAATATATATACACATACATATGTATGTTCATATATGTATATATATATATTCATACATATATATATATACACGGTCTGTGTAATTGTGAGTGTATTGTTAAAGTTGGATTGATGTTGTAAATACCTGAAGACCTGTGTGTGACAGCGCGGCACTGTTGTTTCCAGGAGGCAAGCTGTAGCTCTACTGTATGTAGGCTCAAGGCCTTGATCATACAGATGTGCAAGGGCATGTACAAGAGGGAATGTATATTAACACCCCACCTTGGATTGATGTATTCCTACATCAAGACAGTTGTGCTCTAGCTTGTCGAGGTGATGTAAAATTGATAGCAGCTCTACTGACTGTTTCAATTTGTACAACGGTTCCTCCAGTGTGTCGAGCGGCTGTACAGACTGCAAGTGTGACCTGATGTCAGCAAGGTGTATCTGCAACACCTTGTGTCCACAAATCCGGTGTGCCCAAAAACGGCAATCACTGTGTAAGCAGTGTGGATCCTGCTTTCACTCCTGTAATGTACTCATTGTAGACCTGTGCCTTTGTTGCAGCGTAGTTCATGTAGAACAAATGTTGCTGCTCGAGAATGTAGGCGATGTGGTCTGGATGTCCTGGCACTGCCTGTCCCTCAATCGTGCCACGTGTGTTGAGACTGTTTGCATCCTGCATCGAGATATGCCTCACCAATGTCACCTGATGTGCAGGTGGCAGATGTTTGATGCTGCCAACTCCCATCAAGGACAATGCCTGTGCCACTGTGGCATGTCTGCGGCATGTGTCCTCATCTGCTGCGAGTTGCTCGAGGTTCACGCAGGCGTTGTGGGACCAGATGTACCCTGTGTTCCAGTTGAACTTCATGTAGATCCCGAGCAGGCCGTTGTTGCCGGTGTACTTGAAAACCTGATGTTTAGACAGCTCATCTTGTGTCTGCATCCACGTCTTGTTCATGTGAATTTGCATGTGTACTGCACTGTAGATGTCCACTCGGCAATGTGCCTCGCATCCAGCTGTACCGTGGCCACAATGAAGGTGTCGAGGTGCTGTGTCCTGCATGTCCCGACAGAAATGTAATTCAGAAGGGTTGTGACAGCCTCGAAAGGGGAGCTGTTCAGCACGATGTACTCGACTTCTGGGCAACGTGCCCAGCCATGGATGTGTTTCAGCTCACCATTCTCTGTCCAAGAAGTGAACTCCTCAAATGTCATTGCAATGTACATCATGTTGGTCTTGTTCTGGATGGTGTCCATGTGGATCCCATCCAATGTACGCAAGGGCTGTTTCCCGGTGATGTTCTCCTCAGTGTAGGCCAAAGATGTAAGGCTCATCGCATCCCATGTCCTCGCCGCTGTGACCTCTGTGGCCGGGATGTGCTCAGCGACCCTTGTGAGTCCTGACATCGCCATTGTGTACCTTCAATGTACAGGGGTGTGTCTCCACAAAATGTAAAATGGCTGCGACATGTATCAAAGACATTGTCTGAAACATGTATGAAACCTCATGCAGTAAAAATGTACCCGAGGATGTAAAAGATGTGGTCAAAGATGAACTCAAAGTTGTGTACCCAAAACCAGAAAGGCTGTATCATCTCCAGGGCAGGTCCATGGCTGTACCTAACCTAAAGCTAACACATGTGTGCCGGCCGTTTAGTTGTGAAACATACACGTGCGTCGACTGTGCAACTGTTGTTTAACATACTGTGCAACTGTGTGAAACTGGTGTTGTGTGGCCTCACAGGCCAACGTTGTACAAGCGCTTGTTGAGTGTGTCGCAGCTGATAAACTTTGTCAGCAGGTCTGATGGGTTGTCTTCAGACCTCACTTTGTGCATTGAAATGATTTTGCTTTTGACAAGTTGTTGTATGAAGAGGTGTCGTAGCTCGATGTGTTTTGCTTGCTTTGATGTGCCTTCCCTCATTGATATTGATTTTGCTGCACTGCTGTCTGTGTGTATCCTGATGTTGATGCGTACCTCAAATGCTTCTTTTATGAAGTTTCCGATGTAGAGGCTTTCCTGTGCTGCTGTACCAATTGCGTACAGTTCTGATTCTGCTGATGAAAGTGCTATTGTGGCTTGTGTTCTGCTGCCATAATGTACTGCTGCTCCAAAGAAGTACAGTACAAATCCTGTTGTGCTCTTTCTCGTTGTTTCACATGATGCCCAATTGGCATCTGTGTATGTGTCAATGTTGAGTGGTTTTCGCTTGTCCTGTGGTTTGTATCTTTGGTCGCAAGTTGTGTCGCATGTACCTTGTGCTCTTAAGGTACCTGATCATGTGCTTGAGCTTCTTGTTGTCAAACTGTGTTGGTGCTTGTAATGATCTTGCTAGCTCTTTTGCTCCATAACTGATGTCTGGTCGTGTGTATGCTAGCCATTGTATTTTGCCAACAAGCCGCCTGTATCGTTTGTGCTTTGGCGATGATCTAAGACCGTAGATTGCTTTGTTTAGCCGCCACATTATGTGTCTGTTCTCTTCGTTGTAAAACTCGTGTGGTGGTGTCATTACCAGATTGTGTGTGATGGCTGCTGCATGTAGAAATGCAACACTCACATCTCCTGTACAGACCGACCAGTTGTACACCAGTGCCATTGTGAGAAGCACTCTCAGAATGGAAAACAATGGTGTACTTGCGAAGAGTAGGTCGTGGTCTGTAACGGGTTCTGTGTAGCCTTTTGCAACTATGCGTGCTCGTACTTCGTTGTGTTTTGGTTTTAGAACCCATCTTGATTCAATGATGTTCGCTTGTTGTTCTGGTGTCATTGTGTTGCCATCAATCTCTGTGAAGACTGATTGTTCTTTCATTTGTTGTACTTCCTTCTTCATGCCTTGTGCTACAAGTTGTGGATCCAGGTCTTCTGCGTCATGTATGATCGGCTCTAGTAGGATCCTTTCATTTTCGATTTCTTGTGTGTCTTCATTGGAGGTTGTCTCCATTTGTTTACCATCCTTTGTTGTGAACTTGATGGCATTGATTCTCATCTTGCTTTTTGGTTGTTCTGCTGTTGTAGGTTGCTCAAGGGTTTGTCTCTCTGCTGTGGTGCGTTGTTGCTTGCCGGTGCTGCCTTCTGCTATTGTATCATCTCTTTCTCTTGTCTGTGATGTGTGCGGTGGTGCTGGCAATGATGGTCGTTTCTGATGTGCCGGTGATGTAGCCATAGGTGATGTTGGCTCTGCTGTCCTCTTCTGCTTTGGCTGTTGTTCGCTCGACTGTGCTGTGCTTTGTCTCTTGTTCTCTGCTGCCGTGCTTGTTGCTGCATCCTTCTGTGATGTAATTGTTTTGCTTGCTGATGGCATTGTTACTGGTGGTGTGAGAGTCGGTGTGGGCAGTGCTGATGCTGGTGTCTTCCATGGACCTGTGTGTACACAGTCCAATAGTTGCTGGTCGTATTAGTGAGGCATTATCTGCCTTCTGATTGTCCTTGCTCTGACAGTCTTGTTGTAGATCCCAATGAGGGGTTCGCCTGTAGTTGTGTCCTTGCCAAGCCAGATCCCGTTGTAGAACCTTGGCTCTAGTTTTGAAAATTGTTTTACTGTTGGTAGCATGTATTGCACTGTCTCACCAAACTCGCACAATGGTGTATGCCGTTCTCTGTTCCATCTGTTGAAGTAGCTTGTGCATCCATTGCTGTGCAAAGCGTACCTGTTCATGATGTATGCACTGTGTCGAACGATCCAAGGCATGAGTGGATGTTTCATTGAAATGTCTCTGTTGTAGTTTTGCTTGACCTGTGCCTTGAGTGTTCTGATTTGTGCAAACAGTGTTCTGTGTGCTCGTTCTACTCCTCCTTGTGATTGTGAACTGTATGCTCCTGAGTTCCGGGTTGTGATGTTGCCGTTCTTGCTTGCTACTGTGGTAATGAGTGCTGTCAGGAAATCTTCCTGATCTGATTGTAGTATTGTGTGTGTTGTTCTTCCACACTCAATGAGGAAGTGCTGTAGCTGTGTGACTGCATAGTCGAAGAGCATCCTCTTGTCGGTCAATTGTATTGCCTTGACCATCCCTGATTGGATGTCAATTGCTGTGAGGATTGGATGTACCTTGTTGTCATCGAAGTCTTTGATGTAGCCGAAGTCGAGTTGTATGATTGGAAGCTTGCTGTGCTGTTTTGGGTGGTTGTTTTGTCTGCCTCTTGATTGTACGCATATCGGACACCAATTCCTGCAAGGGAGGTGTGTAACATTGTGCTCCAAAATCTCCCGTGGTGTGGGTTGCTTGGGTGCCTGTACTGCTTTTGCTCTTGTGCCTTGTTGTTGTTCTTCATCATCTGACTCGAGCTGTGTTGGGAACTCCTGATGTTCCTCAAAGTTTGTCCAGCCTGTCCAAGGCTTGTCAGATGTCTTTGCTGGCTGTGTTGTCCATTCATCTTCTATCAATCTTGTGTGTTGTCTTTCTCCTCCAACTGGTTGCACCTTGGTCTGTCTCCAAGGTAAGAGTCGTTTGATGTCTGGCCTGTCGTGTGTCTGCTCTGGTATGTAAAACGCTGTTCTAGGCTCAACATGTACTCTCTTCCAGTATGGGCCTTCTTTGTACCAGTAGTCTCCTCCAGGGTGTACCTCTGAAGGATGTGGAAGTCCTTGTCCAGCTGCGCCTTTGGTGGTGTGTGGCGCAGGTGTGTCCTGAACTGTTGGTGGTGTTGTTTTCTCTCTAAGCCGTGTGCGCGGTTTGTACTGAATCACTTGCGGTGTCACCCTCTGTGGTGCACTTTTTGGCTGTGTCTTTGTTGCAAGCTGTTGCTGTATCGCCTCTGGCAATGTTGTGCCTTTCTTGATCCTGAATGTTGTCTCTCCTTTCCACATTTGTGGTTGTGCTTTGTTTGGCGCTTCCATTGTTTGATACTTGTCTTCAAACGTGTTCGTTGTACCATCCTTGAGTCTGATGGTTGTTTTCCTGTAGTCCTCAAGTTGTTCTGCTGGGGCTGGACACTGTGTTCTCGAAGGTGTGAAGAGTGTCTTTCTGTGTTGCCTGTGTACTCTGACAAGTTCACCTTGTGTATTGAACTGCCAGTAATCTCCTGCATATCCTGTGTCTGCAGGACCTTGTGGTGTCAGTGTTGTGGTCGGTGCTATCATGCCGATCTGTCCTTGGTCCGTGTGGTGTATCTGTAGCTTTGTTCCTTTTGACAATGCTGTGATTTTTGCTTGTAGGAAGAACAGGCCGTTTCTGCTCTCCAGTGTGCTGTTGAATCCTTTGATGTGATGTAGCTTTGGATTGTCATCCAATGTAAGTTGGAAACCTTGTTCCACCAGCCTTGTAACTGAAAGAATCGGCTGTTTAACCTCACAAACGTAAAATGGTATGACAATTTGTTGTCCGCTGTGATTTGTCATGCAGACCCATCTGTACCCATAAAGCTCGATGTGCTGGTTGGTCACTGTTCTGAGTTGTGGTCCTGTTCCATGTGCAAGCTGGTGTAGTGGAAAGTGTGGTGCAAACCATGGTGGGCATACATTTGTAGCCGCACCGCTGTCAATCATAAGACTGACCCACTTGTTGTCTTCTGAGTGTTGTTGTGCTGTGCCAATCATGGCAATTGTTACTTGTTGTAATCCTGAGATGGGTACTGCTAATGGATCCGCCATTTGTGGTGGCTGTGGTAATGCTAGTTGTTGCATGTGTGTCTGATCCTGGTGGTACCAGTTGTTGTCATAGTGTGACTGACTGTACCAGTCATCTGTCTGGTCATTGGTGTCGAAGTTGCCAGTATCGCAGTTGTAGATCGCCACTCTGCATTGTTTGGCCATGTGTCCTGGTTGTCCACATCTGTAGCAAACATTTGTTGCTTGCTTTCCTTTTGATCCTTTCCCTCCTTGTTGGTTGTTGTAGTATCCTTTTCCTTTTCCTTTGTTGTTGTATCCTTTTCCTTTGGAGTATCCTTGTTGTCCTTTGAAAAGATGTCCTTGTCCAACCGGTTGTTGATTGTACTTACCTTTTCCTCCTTTGTAGTTGTTGTATCCGAAGTTGTTGCCGTAGCCGCCGTAGCCTTTGCCTTTGTTGTGTTTTCCTTTGCCTTTGTGCTTGCCCTTCTTTCCTTTTCCTTTGTTGTACCATGTTGCTCCTATGTCCATTGGTGCCGGTCCTTGATTGCTGTTGCTGCCTGATGTGATTGACTGTAGTCTGGTGAATGACGCTGTTGCTCTGTAGTACTCGATCACCATCGATCTGATCTGTGCGTATGTTGTGATGTTTCCTGCTTGTAGCTGCAAATGCTGCTGTAGTGGTCCTTTTGTTTCATTGAGTAGCACTGCGATTTTGATTGCATCTGGTAGTAGTGTGTTGTTGTCTTGTTCGTACCTTGAGAGTTGGAACTCCCATGTTGTAAAGCTCTCTTCGAACTTCTGTTCATCAAGTTGTGGTTTGAGCAGCTTTGTAGGGTATCCAATGCTCCTTGTACCAAGAGGTATGGAGTACCTTGCATGTATAAGCCGCCATGTTTCGAATCCGTTCCCTTGCATGTTTTGTCTGCAGATTGTAGATGCTGGTCCATCGCATGTGCTCACTAGGATGTAGTGCAAGTTGTTGCTCAGTTGTATCCATTGCTCTGCAACCTGTTGTGAAGGTGCTGCATTCTCAAATTGGTCATTTGTGACTGCTCCTGTTGATTGCTCTGACTGTCTAAGCAGTCTGTTGTAGTCTGGGTCTTGTAGTCCCAGGTATGCTGTCATCTTGTACTTCCATTTTTCGAAGGTGTTGTATTCTCCACTGAAGCGTGGTGGTGATATCTTGTACTTGTGGATTCCTTCTAGCTGCTGCTGTTGTGGTTGCTGATCTTGTTGTTGTTGTGCCATGTTACTCACTACTGTGTACCTCAACCTGTGAGTGCGTGTTGGAGCTCACCCTGGGTAGTGTGGTAGGATCGTGTACCAGGGATCACTGCTCCGCTACCATGTTAAAGTTTTGATGTTGTAAATACCTGAAGACCTGTGTGTGACAGCGCGGCACTGTTGTTTCCAGGAGGCAAGCTGTAGCTTTACTGTATGTAGGCTCAAGGCCTTGATCATACAGATGTGCAAGGGCATGTACAAGAGGGAATGTGTGTTAACATCTGTATATATATATATAAATATATACGTGCGTGTTTTTTTTGAGGGTACCCCTTTTTGTGGTTTTAAAGGGACACCAAAAGGACAATCGCCATTGTGTGGTTGTCCCCCCCCAAAAAAAGAAAAGAACAAAAACGACACCCCATGATGTATGTATATATATATATATATGCTCACCCCCCCCCCTTCCATGAACTACATTTAGGGCATGTGTGTCTGACTGATTCAACCAGGTCTGAAGCATCATGGGGGGTGACCATGTACATATATATTTACTTCTTTATTTCTAGCTTAAATGTATTTATGAATAATACATACAAATATAGACGTTTGTTACGCATGTAGTTCTGGTGGTTCTTTTCCAGAAAGATGGGGCCAAGGAGTGCACGGTTTCAGCTTCAGGAAGCATTGCTGCTGCAATGTGGGCTCCAAGCTCCACACTGCCGAGAAGACCTGCAAGAAGTCCGGCAAAGGCACGGCCCCAGCCAATGCAGCCAACGCAGCTCATTTTCTCGATGCGTGGGCATGATGCATCGGTTCCCTGACCATAGAGGGAGGTATTCGTGGGAAACCAGGTTGCTCGAAATATACTTTCACACGAACCAGGATGTTGGGGATTTCTCAAAATATCCTGTTAAAGCAATCAGGATGTTTGACATAAACCAGGATTCATGGGGGAGCCCAAATAAGCCTTTATTAAGCCCATAAGGCCTTATTTGAGGCTTATTTGGGGCTCCCTCCCCCTCCCCTCCCGCAGTTCCGCATGAAGGATCTTTGGAGGTCTCGGTGTCTTTTCGTTGGGCCCGTGTTTTCTCGCGAGGCGACAAGGACCCCGACGTGGTGCGGCGGCAAATCCCAGGCTCCCGCGTCAGGGCGGAGTGGCTCGGATGCAAGCGGGCGACGGCTGGCGGGCGACGGCAAGCGGACGAGGCGGTTTGTCTTTTGGAGGGCGGGGGTTTCCATTTCTGGGACGAAGCCAGGCTCAAACCCAGTTGTTTTTTTTGTTGTTTTGTTTTTTCCATTGGTGTGCATTTGAGTAGCTTGTTTTTTGTTTGCTTTTTCATTACACATGTACAGGTACGGGACTTATTCTGAAGCTACATTCTGCAAGGCAGATATGTGAATAAAAAGCACGACTCATTTTTGCCTAAGGCAGGCCAAAACCCCGGGTTTTCCCTGGGGAGATGTTAGCCACAAGGTTTGAGTCCTCGGGGTCCAAAACATGGACCCGCCGGAAGCTCCCGGGCCTCAACGGAACCAAGTCTTTCAAAGGAGTCCCTCTTGGGAGCTTCCGGCTGGAATCGCCGACCGGGTACCCCTGCAGCTGAGCGAGAAGCAAAACCGATTCGGGTAGAAGGTTCGGGAGAGGTCCTTTTGCACAAATGGGTCCTGGACCTTATAAAGTATGATTTGTCTTATGATTTTCTGGAACAGAGGACAAAACAAGTGCCCCCCGCCCTCGTCCCTGCCTTCGCCGCCGTTTTAATTGAAGCACAGTTTTGGGTAGACCAGTTTCATACCGATCGGTTTTGATTTTGAGCCAGCTGGAGGTTACGGGTGCTCTAATCCAAAGCTCTCTCTGTGTGTGTCGTTTGTTCTTGAAGACAAGCCCACTTCATCTACCAGGGAAACCCATCTATTTCCCCTAAATGGACACCTATCATCACTACTGGAAATATGTCCCGTTTTCTAGGGGACGAAAACGCAAATGGGATGCCAGGACAAACAACCGCATCCATTTGGAGGCAGAGCCCTGTGCCATCCGAGGTTCGGCGTTTGCTCCGAAGCCCGCCTTTGCCTGAGAATCACGTCGGCCTGCGGCACCCAAAACCGAAAATCCGGTCCATCAGAAGTAGGTTCGACTTCCTGGCTCCACATGGCTGCTCAAGAAAGCGGTACCAAAATGGCACCTTGGTAAATGGAACCAAAGACTTAAAACCCGCGGTTTGCCGTGGCTCTGAAATTTTGAGCCACACCCACATGGGTTATAATAAAAGCTATGTAAGTCTTTATATGCATGTTGGCAGGCTAGTTGGTTTTGGGCTCTGCTCACATTGGCATGGGCTTCTCCTTGTGTGCGAGTTGGCCTTTGGCCTCAACTAAACGACGGTCAATATTCTACCGTCAAATGGATGACATTGGGCACACTCACCCAGATTGTGAGAAATTGTGACACTCACTTGCATCCAACCTACACCAAGAATAGTGACCGTGGATAGCTTGCGCGGGAAGGTAGGCAGACAGACAAAGTACGCAAATGGACAAACATGGCAGGATCTTCAGGATATTGCAGAACACTTGCTGGTGCTTAGCAGGGAATTTTCGGGAATGACCCCTATAAACCATCCAACTGGTTTCTTTTATTCAGAGACCAAAGCAACTGGCTTTATTCCATTTCTCATTCCGTGCCGATTTCGCACCGATCGCAAGAAAATGGTGGTTCTCCTCATTCCCTACCTATTCCCTACCAAAAGGGTTCATTCCCTCATTCCCTCCGATTTCGCACCAGCAAGACATTATCGCGGATGTTTCGAAAGCCTATGGCTCCGTTCTTCCACCCCCCTCTTTAAGAGAAGGCCACCGCGTTGCGAACAAAAACCTGCGATATAAAAGCAGTCCAGGGACATTTCGCCAGTTCGAGGAAGAAAGGGTGTCCAGCTTCGGTCAGCTGGGTGTTTGAGGTGGTATGGGACACCTATGTTGCTGCTGGGGGGATTTTGAGCTTCCGACCCACCTTGATCTTGATGTGGCTGGCGGTGTTTGTTTCTGTTGCGGGTGGAACCTTCTCCAACCTTTTTGGATAAATTTTGGAGCATGTTCCGCAGGAGACAACGCCATGAGAGGTTTCGGAGTGGCCCAATGAGTTTTTTTCTTTCGGCCGGCGTCGTGACAACTTGAGCTGCAGAGCCAAGTTCTCACCGGAGCCATGTTCGAGTGACTCCGGTTCTTCCCGCTGAGTAGCGCAGCCGCTGATTGATTTGAAAGCTATCAATGAAGGAGACCATCGCACTGAACACCAGGAACAGCACATGTAGGGATGAGCCAGACCTCCAAATGTGCCCTTACTTTTCTGGGCGGTTTCCCTGTAAATGAGACCAGCCAAAAAGCCGCCGCGTTTTCTTCTCTCTTTTTTTTACCTGGCCGCTGGTGCCCTCCATGTGCGTTTGCCGTTTTTCCAGTCGTCGCCGGCGACTCCCGGCGTGGCCCAGGGGGGCACCACACCTGCGGCAGCGGGCCGGAGCCTTAGGTCCAAACTCGCCGGTTGCCGAGGCCACCAGGGCGAGAGCCCTGCGCCCCTGGTTTTTTTTTGGGGACGTTGTTTTTGGACTTCTTTTGTGTGTCACTTTTGGGGAGGGGTTGGGGGGGTTTGGGGGGGGGGGTGGGGGGTTTGGGGGGGGTTTGGGGGGTTTGGGTGGGGGGGTTTGGGTGGGGGGGTTTGGGTGGGGGGGTTTGGGTGGGGGGGTTTGGGTGGGGGGGTTTGGGTGGGGGGGTTTTGGGTGGGGGGGTTTGGGTGGGGGGGTTTGGGTGGGGGGGTTTGGGGGGGTTTGGGGGGGCCGCGATCAAAACCGGGCAGATGAAGGTTAGTAAGGGACAATCCCAACCATAAATAGCTGCGGCCGCCTTCTTAATTCTTTACATGGTTCTGGGTAGACCATGTTAATACCGGGTTTGATTATGACTCAATTGGATGATCGGAAGTGAGAGGGCGGCTAAGAAGCCCTTTCCTCTTGACCCCTCTCAACATCAAGACGCCAAAATCGATGAAAATACCTGAGAGGCGGAAGCAAGCAACTTTGTGACCAGATTGCAAGGCGCAGGAACTGACCAAACGCGCCCACGCGCTTACGCGTCCAGCCGGTTTTCAGGGGTCCCTATATTTCCCGTTTTGGTGGTTTTAAACATTTGGGGAATATAGGGAGCCTTGCTTTTGGATCCACCGTCAGTTTATATAGGCTCGCGAGAGGTGTCTTATTGCGTCAAGCGGGGACAAAAAGGAATGCCCTCAACACAGGGGGTGCCTCAAAATTAGGGAGCCTCAAGATGTTTGTTGTTTCCTTTTGGTTTCCCTATAACACCAGCCCAAAAGCGGCTCCCGAAAAAAGAGATCCCCAAAATCCCAAGGGTTACCAACCAAAAGAAAGATCCCCAAAACCTCCACTGGCCACTAACTAAAGTCGAAAATCCCCAAAACCCCTAATGGCTACGAACTAAAGTCGAAAATCTCCAAAACCCCAAGGGGTGCCAACAAAAAGGAAAGAGGCCACGGTCAACTCTTCCTTTGCGACCTTTCAGGACATTCCCTCAAGTCATGGACCAAGAGGGGCTATGTGGAGGGGGGGCGTAACTCCCTTCACCCCTTCAGGCCGAATATGCTCTGAGCTATGGCATAGGCTAGGGATGGCTTATCCTTGGGGGTGTCGGCCTTGGGCTTCTTGGCAATCCTCGGCTTCTGGGATTTTCGATCCGCGAGGTGCTGCTGCAGCGGGCTGCTGGAGTTCAACGTGGACTCTCAGACCTGCGAGGCGAGTTTTGGTTCAGCAATTGGTGCCCGACCTCTCACCCAACTTTTTGGGTTGGGAGGGTTTTTCTGCTGAAATAGACAAACCAGAAAAAAGTGGCTACCCTGATTCTATCCTCTCAAATCTGGAGGACCTAGTCTCTGGACAGCTCGTGCTCGTCCTATCGCGAAATCGGTAGGGAATGTGAAATGGAATGGAACTCAAACACCCGTTGGATCGTCTCTGTTCGGGGTCATGCCATTTGTCAGGGTACCCTGCCGATTTCGCACCAGCAAGTCGTTTCTTTGAGTGGCTTGCAACCTTTTCAGGTTGCTTCTTGTTAAGGGGTCCCCTTGATTTGGTGGGTTTTAAATGGATGTCAAGAGGAGAACCACCATTTGCTACCGTAGGTGTCCTAAGAATGGGTTCGTTTGCTTGGAAATAGATTCGGGGTCCACTAGTTTAGATGGGCAAATTATTACCCATTTACCAGAGGAGCTCATCCGTTTTCCCAAAATGTCACCCGTGGTTGGTATTCTGTTCGGGTTGCTTTTCGTGTTGCTTAAGAGGACAACCATTTTGGGGTGTTCCTATTTTGACACATACGCAAATGGTGAAACGAAACACATGGCCCTGGAAAATGGCCCCAGCCCATTCGCTACCTGTGATACGGGGTATCAAAGTCCGAAATTCACCCAGGAAAAAATGAGCCTTCCTTGATGATTAATAGGGGATCTGGATCTTTTGAGGGAAACACGCCCCAGATGTCTCTGCCCGGCTTGGCGAAGCAATAGACAAAGGGGGGGTGGAAGGAAGGTGTTCAGTTTACAGGACCGGCTCGCCCTGGCAGAATGTGATTTGTTTTCCCAGAAGCCGCTTGTTCTACGTGTTGGCGACCGGACTGGGAAGTTCAACTCTCTTGTGTGGGACCTTGTTGCTTCAGTAACTTCACTATTCGGCAAGTGTCCCCACGCGAGAGCCCCCTTTTGGAGCCTTGCCAGTTTACCATACTCAGTTTTGGAATCTAGAGAGAGAATGCGTGAGTTTAGAGGACCCCAGTAGTTTCCAGAAAGCTCATTGGACGCCAGCCGCACAGCATGCTACATCACTGTAAACTGTAAACCATGGGAATACCTCCAGCATCGATACTCCCCGTTCGGTTCTTAGTGGCACCCATCATGACCCTGTTCTTGTGACCCTTCATTTACCAACCAATTTTGACTGACCCCTTGAGCGAATGGGTTGGTGGTTTGCGGTGTTAAACCCCTTGTTGAACCACCCCCGGAATACCTCCAACCAATCCACATCACCGATTGACGGCAGGATGACACGGGCAGGTGCCAAAATATGGTAACCTACAAAGTGGGTGGTTTCCTCTTGGTTTCCATTTGAAACACCCCCAACAATGGGTAACCTCAAAAGCAAACCACACATACACACAAGTGGACCTGGGCAACCTCGCTTGCCGAAAAAAACATCCGCCAGACGCCGCCTTCTGCGCAGGCGGGACTGTGCAGAGCTTGAAGGTTAGCACTCTGAGGGGAAGTAAGAAGCCGAGAGCCTGTATGCACCTATACAACAGAAATGTAATCACATACATACATGGGTGGTTCTCTATAACGTGCATATATAATATATATATATATATATGTATGATTATACACATTTGCAAATGCACCATATATACATATGTATATGTATGTATTTATCCGATCCGGTGACTTTTTTTCTGGGAACCCTCGAGGGTTGAAAAAACAAACGAGGGGACTGTCCCCTCTTGTTTGTAGTGGGTTCGTTTCACCTTTTTCTGTTTTGTTTTTTGCTCTTTTTTTTTCTTCTGTAGTTTGTAGTGTTTTATTTTGGGGAGGGGGGCGGGGTTACCCTTTTTGTAGTTGTGGGATTCTGTTTACCTTTTTTTGGGGGGGGTGAACACCCCCCCCCAAGGAATAAAACCAGTTTATCGATCCGGGGTCAACCTGAGTGAGCACCCGGAAAATTTGGGAGGGAAACTGGACGTGGCAGAGGCGCTTCCACGGTAGCCATCCAACAAGCCTGGCACCTGAAAGAGGACTCCTCTTGAGATCTTTTTTTTGTGTCAAGGTTCCATGTTGGTTCTGTGCCATGCGTATTTGTTTTGAACAAAGCACCTTCTGGGCTTGAGGTGGGTATGCCCGGTTTTATTGAGGGACCCTCTCCCCCACAAATATGGTCCCTCCAACAGGAGACTTCCAGGTAGCCTCCCTCAGGTGCCAGGTTAGTGGGAGGAAGGGCGCTCCACGTTGCCGTGGAACCCACCAGAGGTTCCCCTCGAAAGGTACATAGATGAACAAGCCTTCCAGGAACCCCTGAGTAGTCTTCCAGCACTCCCATTTCTGCTAAAGAGACGGTAGTTACGACAATAATAGATGAAAACAGTCGGAGGGTGCTGGCAGCACCCCCCCATGACTACTTCTCGCAGCTAGGTGCCCTTCTCTCCCCTTTGGTTGGGAGGGTTCCCTTACTAAAATGGACTACAGAAACAAAATTGGGCACCCTTACTCTAACCTACCAAATCTGGAGGACCTAGATGAAATTCCATGTTTGATGAGAGTGCGAGCATTCGAAAGGCAAGGGCTCAACCAGCCAGGCGAACACCTGGGTATCTAAACCTCTTCCAGACGCGGCACCTCCCAAGGAGGACCCTCGGACGGTTACGCCAAGTCAACGTATTTGTTGGTTTGTCTTTGTAGGCAACCCTGTTTTGGTTTGTTTACAGGGAAGAAGGAAAGCAACCATTTTAAGTGGGTTCCCTATTTTGAGACATTTGGACATCGATTCTCCATTGATAACCTATGATTGCCCATGATTTGTGGTTAGTGTACTTGCAACATATAGGAAAAAGAGACACGGTACCATCCTGGTGTCCTGGGAATATGAACCAAACAGGTGTCCAAAAACTCATTCACACGTCACATACCCCAGCGCTTCAAGGTGCTCGTTTAACTGCACTTTCGCAAAGTGACCGTTTAACAAGCACTTTGTCAAGAGGCTGGATTTCAACACCGTGAAAGGTGCGTGAGAAACCCGTGAAAGGCCGTGAGAACCTCGTGCAAGCAGCGTGAAAAGACTCACCCTTCGTTTACTCCTGCTAGGGCTCCCAGTCAAGACAGCACTTTTATCACGAGGCGTGCCTACTGGCGCGGGCTCCCTTTCAAGGAGTTCTTATCAAACTCAGGGGGGCCCCGGCTTTGGGCCGTGGGTTTTGGCACGCCTTTTCAAGAGCTCGTTTCGGAACAAACAACCAGAGTCTGGGGTTTGGCAGTTGGCGAGATACCCACATCTAGCATTCCGTTGCCTGCCTAGAAGATGGACAACGGGCTTTGCTTCGGGGCAAACCTTGGGGGGGTTGATGGACCCCTGCCATGCTGTACAAATCTCTCTGGCCGTTTTTTTTTTTTTCACCAGCCGAAGAAAACAACTTGGCAACCCTGGCCTCGGGGTACCAAAATCCTCGGCATGGATATGACTGACTTTGGCCGATTCCGTGGAGCCAAATCTGAGAGATGCACCGAAGGTCAGGAAAGGCCCGGATCACTCGGGGTTTATTCAACCACTTCTGTGACACTTTGGGGAATCTCCCTGTGTATATTGGGGTTGTTCGTCTTTGGGAGGCCCTTTTTGTTGAATCACAGAAGTGGATTCCATTTCCCACAACCCTGGGAAAGGCTGATGAACTTGATAAGCCGGCGAACCAGCAAGCGATGTCCGGAACACTCTGTCACTTTTGACCGTCGGAAAGGTGGCTTGCTGAGAAGCGGACACCCATGAAGACAGCGGCACGGAGACTATCATTCTCCCCATTAAGGGGAATCAAGCGCCAAACGTCATAGCTTTATCCTAGGGCATGACTACCACGAGCTTGCGGGGCAGGGGGAACAAAAAAAAAGAACACGCTTCCTTTTGGTGAAATGGCCGTTTCCGCTGTCGAGGCCGTCTACACCCTCGGTAGATTTGATTGCGGGGCGGGGGGGGGGGGTTGGGCAGTCCACCTTGATTGCGTAGACGCGACGGACAACTTAGAGCCAATTTTGGACACAGGAGCTTTTGCTTTGCAGCGACGGACATATCAGAGAAAAAGAACACAATATACCAGAGTTCGTAAAGTAGCTGCGACTCTACCCTCCCAGAATGGAAGCTGAGAGGGTGTGGGGCTACTTTCCAGTTCGGTGACCTTCCATTGTTGGAAACAGGGCACACGCACTTGTTTGAACGCGGCACGTGTTTGGTTTTGCCTTCGGGTTTCTCTGGCCAAACCAGTTTCCGAACAAAAGGGAACTCAACAAAATACACCACCACGTCACCCAAAACAAGGCAGAAAACAGAACACAACAAAAAGGAACAACAAAGAACCATCAACAAGAACAAAACAAGTTTAACAACCTTCCCACCATCAGCTTGTATATGGTGACTCTGGCAACTCCGAAGAATCTCAACCTTCCCACACAAAAAAAAGAGTGAATCCCCATCTTCTGCGGGCTTCCACTTGCTTTCTTTTTTTGGTGTTTTTGTTTGTTTTTCGACGCCGCAAAAAACGTTCCTACAACTAAAAAAAAGATGAGAAGAAAAAAAAAAACGTTCCTACAAGTTTGGTTCCTCTTTCTTCTTCTTTTTTAAAGAACAGCAAACATGTTTCTACAACTTTGTTTAAACAAACACAAACGTTCCTACTTGTTCTTGTCTTTTTTGTTGTTTAAAGAACAGCAAACACGTTCCTACAACTTTGTAAAACAAAAAAGAAAAAACACGTTCATACATTATCATTTTTTTTAAAGGCAAACACATTCCTACAACTTTGTTAACCAACAAACGGTTCCTACATTTTTTATTTTTGTTTTTAAGAAGAATAAGAAGAACAGCAACACCGTTCCCGCGACTGTTTCGTGCTCCTTTTTTCTCCTTTTCTCTCGCTTGGCGCTTCGCGCGAAGCCGCGCGAAGCGCTTCGAGGAGCCGATCCCCGGGTCGCAGACCTGGAAGCAGGTGGGCGCCACCTGCGAGTCCAAGGAGGCGGAAACCCGAGCGACCCATCGATGGGTCGATGGGTCGGGGGGGCCCAGGGGGGGTAGGTAGACGCAGGTGGCCACCGGCGGTTTTTTTTTTAGCCCCCCCGGTTTTTGTTGGTTCAACCGGTGGTTTTCTTGGGGAAGGGTTCTGAAAAAAGAAAGAAAAAACACGTTCCATTTGTTGGGGGGGGAAGGGTTCTCCGTTGAAATGGGCATAAAAGGATGCGTCCTCTTCTTCCCCATGGAAATTCACTGGGCATCTGAGGGTACGGAGTGACCCGATTTAGGGGCCCCGCTCTTGGAAACCGGAATGACAAGGCGTCATAAACTGATTCCTCAAGAAAGGAAGCCAAATGGGAGATGAACGCTTTCTCCCGGGGTTCCATTTCTTATTCCCTGCCTGTCGAACCAAGGTGTTTTTTTTTTCCACCTATGAGGGCCCAGCTTCGAAGCCGGCTGGTAAGGGAGCATAGGTAGCCGTTAGGGAGGTCTCCAAATTGTTGCAAAGGGCGGTTTTTGAAGTTAGCAGGACCAGGAGTGCTGGTGAGGGACATGCGAGTTTTTCTCCGCGGTCCTGGGAAGCGACTCCTTCAAAGAAGCCTGGTGGGCTCTGAATCGCATGCTAGCTTCTTGTTTGTTTGTTTGTTTGTTTGTTTGTTTGTTTGTGTTTTTTTTGGGGGGGGGGGGTGGCACATCCACTGAAAATAGGGAATCTTGATGCCTGCTGTCAGAATGGATGATTACATACATCCCCCATGTCTTCTATGTGCAGAGGTTCCAATCGAAGCTCATCTCCAGCTGGCCTTGGATTTCTCTTGAAGATCCGGCAGCCACCAAGGGGGTGGGCAGGGACTTGGATGGTGGGTGTCTCAAAGAACCGCCAAGGTAGCCCCAAAAGGGTTCCCTCCAGAAGGGGACGGCATTTTCTGCTTCACCGAATTTGGGTGCCCTTTGGGCGCTGGCGAATGAGTAGAAGGCAGCTGGCGTTGGACACTCGGGAATATGCCCCTTGTTTGAAGATGTTGGGTTCCCTGTAAAGCGGGCAGGGCGTTTTGCTCAACTCGGGAAACCACGTCCATTCACTTTTTCTCGGCATCGTTTACACTTGATGGATCTTGACTCCCTCGGCTCCTGGCCAAGGTCCAAAACCTGGTACTTGAAGGAACCACTTATGCCATCGATGTGTGGTTATACCTTGAAATATGAAAACAAGCATATCTGGAGAGACCCTGCCGCCGTTGGCAGCCAACCAACAGGTTCTTTAGTTGCCTTCATTTTTTTTTAACCATCTTCAGGTGCAGTCACATGGAACCCACTTGACAGCCTCCATGCAGTCCCTTTAAGAGGAAAGCTTCCCATTTCCGTTGGATGCGCTTCGTTTTTATCCTCCTGGTGCAAGCTCCAGGTGAGCCACCAATGGGGTACCAAGAAAAAGGATTCATGAAGCATAAGGGAGCCATGGTTTATGCACCCCAGTACATCATGGTTGTGGTAACGGGAAGCATGTTTCTTCCATTTTGTTGATCTTGTTGTGGTTTAGTGGTTGAAATCCAACCACTTAACTGCTAAAATAATTTAAATTGTTGCTCCCCTTCCAACGTCAACCAAGTTTTGCAGAAAACGCCGTGGTTTTTTTTCGCGACGACCAGGGCGGGGGATGTGATAGGGACTTGGGGGCATCCTGTTTCTGGCAGTGCTGTGGCGCAACAAAATTAGGGCTCCAAGGGAAACCAACCGGAAAGCGGGAAACAGTAGGGCCGGGAAGCGAACCACCCAGTGAATTCACTCTGAAACAACTGTCAGCCGGAGAATTACGCGCGCCCAAAGGAGAAGGAACGAAGCCCAAAGGAAACGAGAAGGAAACCAAAGAATTCACTCGCCCAGCCAGTGGGCGCACTTTACACCTTGTTCCTTGGTGGCTTTCGCTGTATTTTAGTGGTGGCCCAAAAAGTGTGCGCTTTTTTTTGGCTGGTCACTGGCCAAGTGAGTTAAAAAGGACACCTAAAAGGACACCAACGATTTGTGAGGCCCGGCCCACCTGACCAACCCGCATGTGTGCGCAGGCTTACTCCTGCGGGAAGGAGCGCTCGCACTGCTGCTGTAGGCTGGAGAGAGTTTGCTTCGGTCCCCCAGCTAGGTGCCCGACCTCTCACCAACTTTTTTGGTTGTGAGGGTTCCCCTACCAAAATAGACTATAGAAAAAAGTTGGTACCCTTAGTCTAACCTCTCTACTGGAGGCCCTAGGTTTGCTTCGGTCAAAACGCTTCTTGACGTGGGGTCCGGTTTCCTCCATTTGGGTATGGGTCAAAATTAGTCACCACCAGGAATTGGACCGCAGGTTTTGGTCCATGTTTCCACTTACCAGGGCCACCCCTTTTGGGGGTTACGACCCACAGCCATTTCCCTGTTTGAAACCGCCGGCAAGTTGCAACTTTTGAAGAGGTGGAATGACCCCCTATAAACCATCCCTTTTGGTTTCCTTTACAGGAATCCCCAAAACCGATTCATTCTGAACACCCGAACTCTGTTTTTCCCTGCCTATCTCACCAGCAAGCCTACCAGGTTTTGGTTCTGACTCTTTCCTCAGGATTAGTCTGTTTCCTTTTAGGGGACCCATAAGGGGACCCCTGGGTTTGTTCCCAAGACCCGGAAGTTCATTCCCTAGCTATCGCACACGCAAGCCAAATGAGCCACAATCAAAACCCGGGTAGATGGAGGTTAGTAAGGGACACTCCCAGCCATAAATAGCTGCGGATATCCGCCTATTTTCCTGGAGCATTGTTCTGGGATTACGACCATTTTACTCACCCGGGTTTTGCTTATGACTCTTTTCCCAGGATTTGTTTGTTTCCTTTTGGGAACCCCTGGGTTCGTTCCAAGGTCATTCCCTACCCCATGGCACAGGCAAGCCAAATAGGTCTGTCAAGAAAGGAAACAAACACGGGGGTTTTGATTATGACCATCTCAATACCAGCTTTTGATGATGACCATTTTAATACCGGGTTTTGATTATGACTCAAATCGGTCTGTCGCAAAGAAACCAAAACTGGGGCCATCCTCGAGGTTCGGCTGCGAGTTCATCGAGATCTGGGATAAGTGCGGGCACTGCAAGGACAACGTCCGTGGCCTCAATCGGGTCAGTGGGTTCAAACACGGGCTTGCGCTTGTTCAGTAATTATTCCCCCTCTGGGGTTTCTTTTAAAGGGACGCCCAAAGGAAAACCACACTTGTTTGGGGTGACCCTATTTTGACACATCAAGGTTCAAGCAGGGACCCGTTCGTCACGTGGTAAATAGATGTGGCCATGAATTTGTTAGGGAACCACCTCAAAAGTGATTGGTGGACATAAATCCCCACCTAAATGATGTCCACCAAAGGGTCCCTTATTACAATTCACCCCCCACATTTTGTGTGCGTGCTTTTGAGTGGCGCAGGGCACTCGCGCTTCGAGCTTCAGACTTTGCGTTGGCCAAGGTGCCCATGGTCGTGCAGAACCTGCGCCTTGGCTATCCGCCGGTGACACCTTCAGGGGAAAGGGTCACCCTTCAGACCGCGCGAGAGCATAGGTGGTGCCTTAGTTCAGTTGGGTTGAAACTAGATGGGTTCCACTGGCAGGCAGCTTGGTTCTCATTTACCAGTCTTTAGCTATATTTTACCCAAAGGCACAAGTGAATGGAGCCCCTGGACACGGCCCGCTAGATCGATCGATCCACGCAGTCATCACGCAGACGCCCCGAGGATTCCGGCATCGCAGCTGTGGGAGCTGCGGGTGAAGAAAGGCGTGTGCAACGCCAAGCGGAGCCATCCCTGCCGCCGCCCTAGACTCGTGGATTCATGTGGATCCTTGGAGTTTGGAGTCGAGAGGACCTTCTGTTAAGGCTGGATTTGGGATAGGTTGTTTCAGAATGTCCTGGAGATCGGAATGATTTGGTTCAAGGGTTTTGAGACGAAAAACATGGTTTTGGCATGGGTTTGCTTCGTTTCCGGTTGGACGATTTGACGGTGTTTGGATGGGTGTCGAGGAGACTTCCCCCATTGGTTGTCCTCTGTGTCTTTCGGGGGCCCAGCATCTTGAGGAGATGGCCACCGCGTGGCCATGATTCCACTTGCGAACGTACGGCCATGAATTTCAATAGGGAGCCACCTGGTGGACACAAATCCCCATCCAAATGATGCGCACCAAAGAGTCCCCACTTAGAAATCATAGCCATACCCCAGTTCCGCCTTTGGAAAACATCAATCAATCCTGGGGTTACATTTCAGCTTCAGATTGAGCCGGAGCGCATTCGCAGAGGTCCCCTTGATGGAAAAATGGGACCGGGGAGGCTTTTGGATGTTGAGACCACTTAGCAGCTAGGTTGTAATCCGGTGGGACACACCCCCTGCTACCGGCTTAGCCCACTTCCTATGTTATGTTTTGAAATGGGGGGGGTGCCGCTGAAGGGTGATGTTTCAACGGGAACCCATTTTGGGGTCTTCCATTTTGGCACAGCCATACCTCAAGTCATCAGCACACCCGGCCTCAGGCGGACCCGGGCACCTCGGCATTTCGGAGGGTTCTGGCCGGCCCTCGTCAGGGAATCTTCCACTTACTTAAGAATATGTTTCTGTTATTTTCCCCACAGGGAATCGTCAGTTTCTGTGTGGGGAATCTTTCATTTGCTTAAGATGTTTGTGTTTAATTTGCTTAAGAACCAGCACTCTCCAAGGGCTGTCCATTGGTACCCAAAATGGCTGACACAAGGGCCATGTTTGGGCACAAATGGACGACCGTCCTTGGAGGGTGCTTAAGAATATGTTGTTGTCATTTTCCCTACAGGGAATCGATTTCACTACTAGATGTTGCTTGCTTTTTTCCAGGGCGCGAAAATGCAAACGGAGGTTGAATCCCTTCCGGTTTATCCCGGACTCGTTGTCATTCCCTGAGATCGCACCAGTAGGTTGTAAAGATTACCCTCCGGTTTGTTGCCATGGAGCTTGTCAGAGAGTCCCTTTTAGGGAAAATCGTCCACCCCTGAGTCAGGTTCCATGTGGACAGGCGAGTCTCTTTTCTATGGGGTTGGTTAGGTGTCGGCAGGGCCTTTGCCATGAGAAGTGTGGCCTTTTGAGGCTGGCAGGCGTTTTTTGTGTACTTTCTGGTTCTCAGCACGGAATGAGTTGGAATGACCCCGATGGACCTTCCATCCCATGGTTTCCTGGGGAATACCCCAAGCCGGTTCATTCCCAACACCCGGACTCGTTGTCATGCTGTACCCATAGCACCAGCAAGTTTGTGATTTGGGAGTTTGCCTCGGGCCAAGAAAACGAGGTTTCTCTTGAACCACTATCCAAAGGCGCTTGCCAACTCTTTCCTGCAAGTCTCCAAAGCGGACGGTTGCCGGCACTCGTAGAAATTGGGGAGGACATTCATGGTGGGTTTCCCCCACTGCGCCTTAGTGACCCGCAGCTGGGAGGAGAACCCCCCCCACCAAACAAAATCCAGCAAGTCAGCTCGCTGGCGCCCAAGTTTGCCCGCTCGCCCGAGTCAAGGTGCTGCTGCAATGCTGGTTGGACTTGGAACAAGGAGCAGCGGAGATGTCAGGACCTCGACGAGGGCAACGAGGAGTGCCACGACGCTTGTGGGGCGCGGAGGATTTTGGTGGACGCGTTGCCTTTGGCCGGCGCAAGGTGTGGCAGTTGGGGCTCTTTGGCGGATGTTGCAGGGGCAAAGCGCAGGCTTTGGTCTTTGTTTCCATATGCCGTTGTTCAATGCCACGTGATGCCACGTGTTCATGGGGGGCCGGAGGTCCCCTTGACTCAGGCCCATGCTGGGCTGAGACGTCTTGCATAGCCCTGTCATGCCGAATCTTCCGGCTGGTGGATTTTTTCGGGGTGGTTTCATTTAGATCCCTCAAAATTTAAGGAAGCCAAAAGAACCTCAGAATTTGGGGAAGCCAAAATGTCCTCGAAATTTGGGGAATCCACAAATGTCCTCGAAATTTGGGGAATCCACAAATTCCTCAAAATTTGGGGAAGCTCCAAATTCCTCGAAATTTGGAGAAGCCACAAGAACCTCATATTTTTGGGGAAGCCACGATGTCCTCGAAATTTGGGGAGGCCACAAATTATTGTCACAAATTCCTCGAAATTTGGAGAAGCCACAAGAACCTCAAAATCTTGGGGAAGCCACAAATGTCCTGGAAATTTGGGGAAGCCACAAATGTCCTCGAAATGGGGAAGCCACAAATCCCTTGAATTTGGGGAATCCACAAATGATTGTCACAAGTTCCTCGAAAATTGCTTGCTGATTGGAAGGAGCCGGACACCTCCCCGCCACCAGAAGAGCCCAGCGGAAGTCTCAGCTCGGGTAGGAATTGCTGAAGGGGTGTGGCTCTTCTTGTTTTTTTTAGGGGGGGTGGGTGGGTGAGGTTGTTAAGTTGTTGTTTGTTTGTTTGTTTCATGTTGTTTTATTTTTCTGCTTTTTCTTTCTTTCTTTCTTTTTTTTTTGGGGGGGGGCATGTTTTCTTCTTTTTTTTAGGGTGGGTGGGGGGGGGTTGTTCAGTTTTGGTTTGATTGTTTTTTGTTTTTGTGTTTGTCTTGTTGTTTCTTCTCTTCTTTTTTGGGGGGGAGGGTGGTGGTGGTTCAGTCTGAAGGAGTGTGGCTGTTTTTATGTTCCTTTTTTTTAAGGGGGGGTGAGGTTGTTAAGTTGTTGTTTGTTTGTTTGTTTGTTTGTTTGTTTGTTTGGTTGTTTGTTTGTTTGTTTGTTTGTTTGTTTCATGTTGTTGTTTTATTTTTCTGCTTTTTATTTCTTTCTTTCTTTTTTTTTTGGGGGGGGGGGCATGTTTTCTTCTTTTTTTTTAGGGTGGGTGGGGGGGGTGTTGTTCAGTTTTGGTTTGATTGTTTGTTTTTTTTTGTGTTTGTGTTTGTCTTTTTGTTTCTTGTCTTCTTTTTTGGGGGGGAGGGGCAGGGGGGGTGGTTCAGTCTGAAGGAGTGTGGCTCTTTTTATGTTCTTTTTGTTTGGGGGGGGTGAGGTTGTTAAGTTGTTGTTTGTTTGTTTGTTTGCGTGTTTGTTTGTTTGTTTGTTTGTTTGTTTGTTTGTTTGTTTGTTTGTTTGTTTGGTTGTTTCATGTTGTTGTTTTCTTTTTCTCTTATTTTGTTGTCCTTGTTTTTTTATATATATATATATATATTTTGGGGGGGGAGGCATGTTTTCTTCTTTGTTTTGGGGGTGGGTGCGGGGGGGGGGGGGGTTGTTCAGTTTTTTTTGTTTTTGTTTGGTGTGTGTGTTTTTCTGTTTGTTTTTTTTTGGGGGGAGGGGGGGGGGGGTGGGTGGTTCAGTTTTCTATGTTTTTCATTTTGTTTTTGATTCTTCCTTTTTTTGGGGGGGTGTTTAGTTTTGGGTTGCTTGTGTGTGTGTGTGTGTGTGTGTGTGTGTGTGTGTGTGTGTGTGTGTGTGTGTGTGTGTGTGTGTGTGTGTGTGTGTGTGTGTGTGTGTGTGCGTGTGTGTGTGTGTGTTTGTGTGTGTGTGTGTTTGTGTGTGTGGTGTGTGGTGTGTGTGTGTGTGTGTGTTGTGTGTGTGTGTGTGTGTGTGTGTGTGTGTGTGTGTGTGTGTGTGTGTGTGTGTGTGTGTGTGTGTGTGTGTGTGTGTTTTTGTGTGTGTTTTTTTGGTGTTTTTTTTTTTTTTTTGGGGTGGGGGGGGGCGGGGCGGGTTGTTCAGCTTTTTGTTTGTTTGTTTTTTTTTGGGGGTGGGGGAGCGGGCGGTGGAGTGGGAAGTGGAGTGTGAAGTGGAGTGGGATCCCCAGTAAAACAGACTCACACCGCTTGTAGATTTACTCATCGGAGGCAGGGCACAGACGTAGAAACCGGCAAACTCGGACGCGGACCGACACGGGTGCCAAGCAAACGTAGGCACGCGCGCTCAGGTCTCACAAAAAAGTGGGAAGAAAAACTGACACCCCCGCAGCAGAAGCAAACAGGTTTTTGTCCCAAGCTAGTGTTTAAGGCAATATCGTATCGGACCCGGCAGCGCAAGGCAGATGCCAGGACGAAAAAGATTCCCCTTGAAAACTCAACAAGTGTTGATTCGGCTTGGCATCGGACATTCACATTTCCAGGAGTTGATTCCAAGCATTCTGTTCAACCATCGTTCTTTGCAAACACCAGCCAAGGCTTTTCTAGAAAGAAGGATCCCTTGGAAGAAAGTTTCGAAAGGCACCCCTACCTCAGTTGTTCAGTGACCCTGGCAAACAAGTGAAACTTTTTTGGGAAGACCATTTCTAGTGGGGCGGCCACCAGAAAAAAAAGGGGAAAATAATTGGTGCCACTGAACAACTGAGCTACAATCAGCCAAACTTTGCCAAGCGGTACCTTCCACTTGCTATGGCCATCTCTCTGGCCTCAGAATCTGGTACCCCCCCTCCCCGCCCCCCAGAGCCGAGGACGGCTCCTCCAGTAGAGAGGTTAGAAGGTTAGAAGAAGGGTGCCGTTACTTTTTTCGGTGTATGTATGGCCCTTGAGGGGGGGGAACTCCAAAAGGAGGAGCCAGTCATTCGGGTGTCTCTATGGGCTCGAGCTCTTTTCTTCTGAGCCCGGGTAGACCTTGATCAACCGCCTCTCAAAATGCATTGAACGAATGGACCCCAGCCAGGTCCCCCAGTAGTGCCCTGTCTTTTACCAACTGTTTTGGTTGGGAGGATGTCCCTACTAAAATAGACTTAAGCGTCTATGTTGCAACCGCCTCATTTAGGGTACTGGTTTCTCAGGGTTCTTGGCTGCAAAATGGAATCCAAGTGGAGACCCCAACTCCACCCCCCCCCCACCTCCCCCAACTCCACCCCCACCCCCCACCTCCCCCACCCCCCTCCCCCGCGCCCCCACCCCAACTCCACCAGCACCCCAACCACCCGCAACCCCACCCCCCCCCACCCCCAGACTCCACCCCATTCCCTGAACAGCTCCAGGTCCGGAGCCGGAGCCGAAAGGTTCCGCCTGCGCGGCAGGCAGAGTAAAGCACTTGAGCTCCGGGTGGATTGGTTCATCCGGGTACCCTTGAAAGACCATAGATGGGGAAATAGATAGGTGTCCTTTTAGGGGAAATAGATAGGTTCCCCTGGTAGATGAGGAAAAACCACCAGGTAAACCAGCCTTCGCATGGAATCGCCCTCTATTTTTCAACCAACACCACTTCAAAAAAAAGACGCCGACTGTGGGTGGTTGCGAAATCCATTTCGCACCACCTTTGAAACCAAGGTTGAAACCAAGACGTTTGTTGGTATTTACGGGGGAATCATCATTCCAGGGTTTCTTAGGTGGTGCGAAATGGATTTCGCAACCATCCACAGTAGGTGTCCCATTTTGGTGGTTTTGGTTCATAGGTTCATCCGGGTGTACTCTTGAACGACCATAGGTGAGCCAAGTGAAGCTTCGTAAGGGATCCCAGCCAATTGCTGCGGCCCTCCTTAGTTCTTTACATGGTGGCTCGACCATTTTATTTAATGGCCTGCGGCCTGGTTCCGCCGCCCCCACACACCTTAGAATTTCGGCCCGGGACGAGAGAAAGCACGCGATATGTAGACAGACACAGACAGACACAAAGACACACAGACAGACACGCGGGGGGGGGGACACGAAGAAAGACGCAGATACGTAGACAGACACAGACAGACACAGACAGACACAAAGAGACAGAGACAGACACGCAAGGGGTCTTCGCGGACACGAAGACAGACGCAGACAGACCCAGACAGACACAAAGAGACACAGACAGACACGCAGGGGCAGGGGGGGTCTTCGCGGACACGAAGACAGATGCAGATACGTAGACAGACATAGACAGACACAGGGGGGGGCGGAGGGGTGGGGGAAGACTACCCGAAGCCTAGGGAAGAAGCCCGAAAGCCCAGGACACGCGCGTTGTTTGGTCCCGAAACAGTATCGGAAGACTAGGAGAAGAAGCCGGAAGATTACGGAAGACTACGGGAAGAAGCCGAAAGATTGCGGAAATTTACGGGAAGAAGCTTGAAAGATTTCGGAAGACTACGGGAAGAAGCCGGAAGACTACGGAAGACTACGGAAGACTACGGGAAGAAGACGGAAGACTACGGGAAGAAGCCGAAAGATTACGGGGAAGTAGGACTCGGGACTTGAAAGAAAAAAAGATTACGGAAGATTACTGGAAGAAGCCGGAAGCCTACGGAAGGAAGGAAGAAGCGGGGGGGGAGGGGGGGGGGGGGAGATGGGGGGGGGAGGGGGGGGGGGGGAGGGGGGGGGGGAGGGGGGGGGGGGGGGGGTAAAAATACATAAAATGGCACTTCTAACATCAAACCCAAATAATCAAACAGCATACAACAAAATCAGCAAAATTCACAGAAAACAAGATAAGAACCACCAAGCAACTCAAAAACCAGAACAACCCCCAACAAAATATTTAATCAAAGCATAAAACATTAAATAATTCAAACAAGCATACCAACAAAACAGCAAAAATAAAAACCATCAAAGAACACAAACTCAAAAACACACAAAACAAAAACAAAGCAACATACCATCAAAAAATATCAGAAGAGTATCAAACAAAATAAAAAACAAACAGCCAAAGCACGAAAAAATCAAAAGAGCATACCAAGTTCAAACAACGCACTTTGAAAGAGATAACCAAATCAAGAAAAATAAAATATTTCAATCTTTACAAACCATAAGTACAGTATAATTATAACATATAAGATTTTACATGTTATTATTATAGTATGATTAAGAATTATAGCACCACATTTCACAAGCCATGTTAATCCAAAAATCAAGCCATGTTAATCCAAAAATCAAGCCATGTTAATCCAAAAAATCAAGCCATGTTAATCCAAAAATCAAGCCATGGTAATCCAAAAATCAAGCCATGTTAATCCAAAAATCAAGCTATGTTAATCCAAAAATCAAGCTATGTTAATCCTTAATCCGTCAAACTCACTAAGATTTCACAAATTAATTCGCTAGGTATTTTATATAAATCTTCCTGTTTATGTATTGTTGGATTGTCTCCCCAATTTTCCTTAGTGCCCGATGGAAGCCGTTGTGCAGTTTCAATATGTTTATTATTCCTGATGTTGCCACAATCCTTTTTACATAAATCTCTAGGTTTCCAAGTTGTAATGTTATTCCAGAGCCTAGTGCGTTTTCTGTAAGGCATTCCATATTTACAATAATCAACATCTTTAAAATCAAACTCATCCATAAACTCCTGATTTTTTAATAATCCAGTTTGTGGATTTTCGATTACAAAATACTTAGGATTGAAATATTTGATAATCTCAATAGTTTTTAAGACAATACTATTTGCATATTCGATATTCCTAATGCCCCTAGTTTTTGCTACACTATATTCCGTGCATGGAGGACTTGCCCAGATAAAATCAAAATGGTTCCTATCAAATTGTTTATAATCCCATTTCAAAATATCAGTATTTATATCAGCATTTTTCAAGTCTAATGATATCACATTAAATCCAAGCGACTTTGCTATGGTTCCAACGCTTTTTGTTCCGCTAAACATCTCTAATAAGTTCATTATTAAAGATATTTAGATAATATTATCTATGAATAAAAATCCCTGTTTCCTCGTTAAAAACTAAACTATGTTTAGTTTTCAATGAGTAAATACAACTTTATGAATAAAGTTGCGTTTCCTCATCATAGTCAATCTGATAAAATGTCATAGTGGAAGACTTCGGTTCTTTAATTTCTTTGTTATTAAGCTTGTTTAAATAAATATTTCTTGTATTTTAATATTCCCCATTGGTTCTATCTACTTCTTTACTTTGATAACTGTTTGTTAATGGTTTCTTCTTTTCCATTTCTTGCAAGATTTCTAAAATATTCTTATTCTGTTCTAAAACCTTGTTCAGTTTTTTAACAATCTTATCTAATCCTTCATCCATGTAAATATATACTAAATTATAAAACTAAACTTTTAAAACTAAATGTTGCAATTATGTTAAATCTACTCTTTAAATACTAATTTTTCATCATTTGTTTTACAGTTTCCTGAGTTTCCTTATCACCATTATCGGATGGTGATGCATGCCTTCCCCATTTGATAGCAATATTATGAACATCTGTTTCTAAATTTATACTGTCTTTAGTTTTATCAATATTCATTTTCTTATCATTCTTACTTATTTTGAAACTTGTTGGAATACACGAACATTTACAGTTTCCTTTCTTTTGTATTTCTAATTCATTCTTCATTTCTAACATCTTTTTACACATTGGACAAGCAAACTCAATAACTGATGTTTCTTTAACAATTTCTTCTTTTTCTTCATCAGTTGAAGAAACAACTGGTTCAGTCTTATTCTTTTTCTTTTTTCCCATTTATATTAATATTCACATTTTTATTTTTGATATATTGTATAACAAACTTAATTAATTCTAAAACAAAATAACATATTTTTTACATCTATTATTAGTTATAACAACTTGTTCTATATTCTCTACTTCATCTATTATATCAATATAATCTGAATAACTTCTATTCATATAAAATAATAAATATTAAATTATTTTCTAAATGTCTTTAATATCACTTTTATTATGCCTGATGTAAAACCAATTGATGAAATCAAATATGACTTTAAACAAAGTAAGCACGAGGTTGTCCCTAAATTGCCTATGAGAGCTATGATTGTAGGCCCGTCTGGTTCTGGAAAGAGCACCCTACTTGTATCAATGATACTTGATATTTATAGAGGAGCATTTGAAAGAATTTTTATCTGGTCCCCATCTGTAAATTTGGATAGTATTTGGTTGCCTGTCAAAAAATACATTAAAGAAGGTTTGAAAGTAGATACTGATAAAGAACCGTGTTGGTGGGATGAGTTCAATGTTGAAGATTTAGAAAGAGTTATAGAAACTCAAAATAAAATAATTGAATACCAGAAAAAACAAGGAATGAAGAAGTTATTTAATATTTTGGTAATTTTGGATGATGTATCTGATAACCCAGCAATAACAAGAAATAACAAATTGTTAAATTCTTTATTCTGTAGGGGACGTCATAGTGGAATATCAACGCTTGTCAGTCTTCAGAAATCATCAAGTGTCCCACCAATTATTAGAGTAAATATAAGTCATTTGTTTTATTATAAAGTTAGAAACTTCAAAGAGATAGAAATATTACAAGATGAATTATCAGCAATTGTTAGAAGTGATAATTTACTAGAAAGCAAGAAACTAATTTATAAAATATATGAGACTGCAACTGATGAACCGCATAGCTTTTTATATATTAACCTTCTCCAAAAAGACCCTAACCGTATCTTTATGAAAAACTTCTCACATTATTTGAAAATTACTAATTAAATAAATAAATATATTAATATTATATGATATTTTATGATTTACCATTAGACATTAAAAACCTTGTATTATCTTATAATTTAGGTGATGTTAGATTATTAAAAATAAAAAATAATAATATTATTAAAAATTATATTAATAAATTTAAACCAGTGTATAAGTCTTACAAATTAAAGAATTCGCAATATTTTGAAATTGATAATATCAATATGAAAAATATTATCAATAATGGAATATCATATATTTTTAACTTAAGTGAGTTAGATAAATTACATCAAAAACATAAACCAGTAAAATTATTAATTGAATATGATATATTAGCTACATCTACCTCATTTACTTGTTTGAATCATGTTCGTAATCGTACTTTAACATCAAATAATTTATTTGATATTTATTATTTTCTTAATAAAGACCTTTATGAAACTAATTTAATGTATAGCCGTAATATGGTTAATTTTATTTCATTACAAGTGAAAAAAATAACTATTAAAGTCATCAATGATGAAAGACAAAGTTTTATTAGTAAATTTTATTCATATTTTTTAATTAATAATGTTAATAACGTTTAATATTATTAATTCAGAACAAACTATAACTACACAAATTTAATGCTGGTAATTTATATATTAATTTGTCACATTTTACT